GTAATATCTGTACTCTGTTAAATCTGTTAACACATAAATGGATCCAAAGGGATTTTTTGATGACTACAATCTTTCTGTGTAGTTAATTATGTCAGTACGTATATGTTTGTGGAATTTGGGACTCTAAAATATGAACATCAGAAGAAGGTCTATCAAAGGACAAAGAGCTGTGAATTATCTGTTGTTTACTGCACAAAAGATATAATTCTGGTTGGAGAGTCCAATGGATTATTTTGACAGAAGTAAGAGTTGAATATATGTCCCTTTATCACTAGGCAGCAGACTTGCAGGGAAAAGCAAAACTGTCTTTCTCTCTTTTCATTCACGAATAACACCAGTTAAACTATTTCTCGGTAAAAGGTTTGTGAAACCTGATAAAGTTTAAAAATTAGGGTTCCCAACCGATTCCCACCTAAATGTGAAGTCTGGTTTGAAGGTATTACCTCACTGGGTGTCAGCAACTTCATCTTGCCGATAGGGACTTGAAGGAATTGTGAGAAATCTAAATTTGTTCACTTTGTCCACCGGGGTTCCTTTTACTCTGCACAGCTGTTTTGTTTTGTCTTGTCTGCCTGTGATTGTGTGTGTTTGGGATCAAGGAAATATAATTTAATTCTTAAAAGTAAGTCAGTTGTTAACCATTATTGCCACTTGTTTAAAGAATATATCTTGCTTATAATAAATGAGTTATTTTTGTGTACATTGAAGTCTGGTGTACATTTCTTTAGCTCTGCATGGTAGCAGAACAGAGAAACAAATGGATCATTTTGATGATTCAGTTCAACATTTATGTTTATGGCACAGATCATGAAATACGTTTCATTACTGTGCACTCTTACTGTCAGAATCATAATACATAAATCTCTGCTGATGATTTTGACACCGTACATTGGTTTGGAAAGGCCAAATTTGCTGTTAATTTTATTTGTCTCAGTGTTGGATTGAGTCAGCAGGTTTGAATGGGAGTTAACATTTCTCGCCGTGTTTTTTTTTAAAGGATTATTCTCTGTAGCGATTGCTGGGTGTTTCCCAGTTCCTGGACCTTGTTTCTACTTTCTCTCTCCCTTTCCCTCCCACACCCTGCCCCGAGAAAACCTCCACCAACCACGCAATCTGGGAGATCGGGACTGAACACAGGCTGCTCCTGCAGAGCTCATGGGGGCCAGGGTCTGACCAATGTTCCCTTGTCTCTGGTCCGTTACCCACTGAACTAGAGTTTGTGTTCAGTGGTGGAAGACGTCCAAAATTGGAATAGACAACAACAATTTGCACTTTTATATAGAGATTTAACAGAATAAAACATTTGGAATGCTCTTCACAGGACCGCTCACTGATTGATTATGTGACTTAACGTAACTTTTTAGACATTAAGACCAGCATAGAAAGAGTGAGATTTTAATGTGTTTTAAGGAGGAGAGAGAGAGTGTGACAGAGAAACACTGGAGGATTTCCAAAGTAGCTGAAGACCATGTCTTCAATGTTGAAGTGATTAAAATCAAAGTGGAAGAAGCCACAGTAGATGAGTAAAGTTATCTGGGATTATTAGGGGAACAAAGAGATTACAGAGCGGCAATAGGGATAGGAGGCATCAAGGCCATGAAGGGATCTGAAATCAGTGAACTTAACTCTGGGGCAAACTCAGACCAGAATCATTAGTGGGTCATAGTATCTAGGCATCTATTGATCTCTGTCTTGAACAAGTTCAATGGCTTGAGCGTCCTCAACCACGTATAGAGAATTCCACAAAAATCATTACCCTCCAAGTAAAGACGCTTCTCCTCATTACAATGAGGAGGAGGACCTACTCTTTTTGAGACTTGTGTCTATAATTCTATGTGCCCTCTGCATACAGCCAAGGGAACATCTTTACATCAAGTGTTGTAACCATTTTGATAGTTTCAATACAATTGCCTTTCATTCTTCTAAACTTTTTCACAATGTAGATACAATTTCCTCTGCTCATAGGATAGACTCACCATTCCAGGAATTTACCTAATGACCCACTGCAGTGTTCTCTCTCTGACGACTATTTTTTCCTGAGGTAAGGGGGGGTCATAACAGCATATCACACTCCAAATGTAGTCTCACCAATGTTCTTCTATACAATTGAAGCAAGGCATCTTTACTTGTGTTCCCAAATTGTATTGTGATAAATGCCAACGCACCGTTGTCTCCCCTATTGCTGGATGCACATGCACATTAGCTTTCAGCAACTTAATCATAAGAACATCTCGGCCCCTTTGCATAGTAACAGTCCCCAGTCTCTCACCATTTGAATGATACCCTGCACCTCTGTTCCTTCCATAGTGGATGACCTCACATTTATCCATATCATATTCCATCTACCACATTCTCGACCAATCAGTCTGTCCTGATCCTTTGATAGTCTTGCATTATCCTCACAGCACAATCTCACCTAGTCTTATGTTATCTGAAAACTTGGAAATATTACATTTTGTCACCACATTGACATAGATTTTGGTCTTGTGCTACACTATTAGCCACAGCCTGCCAAACCAAGAATGATGTTTTTATTCCATGAGCCAATTCATGCCAGTATTTTTTAAAATCATAGCCAGAAGTGCTCTTCTGCTACCAAATCACCCATTTTTCTTTTCCCCAATCTATCAACCGCCACCAATAAATCGCCCATGTTTCCAATGGAATAATTTGCATGCAAAGTCCACAAAGGGTAACGTGAGCAATCAAAGGTGAGGGAGAAGTAGGGAGATGGCACATGCAGTACCCGACATCAAAACCTTCAGTTATAACATCATTTATCATAATTTCTAGCATACTTCTTAATTCTGATGTCAGACCAATAGGTCTGGAGTTCCCCTTTCTCTCCCTCCTCCTTAAATAATGGGATTATGTTTGCAACATTTCCATTGCAGATACCATTCCTGAATCTATAGAAAGAGGATCACTAATTCATCCACTTCACTTTAATCACCTTCTTCAGCTCTCATTAATTTTCCTCATTCTTTTCAAAATAATACTAATTTCTTTCAATTCCTCATTTTCACTAGTCCATTAGCCTTCCAACATTTCTGGGATATTTCCCAGATCATCATCTTTTAAGCCAAATGTAAACAATTAAGTTTTTGTGTCCTTTCCTTATTTCTCATTATAAATTGTCCTTTTTCTGCCTAGTGGACCGTCATTTGTCGTTGCTAGCTGTCTTTTCATTCATCCATACTTCTAGAAGTTTTTTCAGGGCAATTTATATTTCTTCCTGGTTTATATTCACAGTCTATTCCCCATTTCCTGAACAGTTTCTTGGTCCTCCTTTTCAGTCAATATAGGATATATGTCACACCAAGAGCCAGAAATGGTTAAGTCAAAAGCTTTTTATAATAAAGTTGTAGTTGAAAGATTCAAAATCCCAATTCTCACTCTCTGATGAACCACTGCAGTGTTCTGTCTCTGACGACTATTTTTTCCTGAGGTAAGGGGGGGTTCATAACAGGTAAGGGGGGGTTCATAACAGCATACCACACTCCAAATGTCGTCTCACCAATCGAAATCTCTGAAGTCACAATCTAAAATTCCTAAGCCCCTCATTCTGTCTAATATCAGGTTCGGCAGGCAAAATTTATTCATACAGAATTATTAAGAACAAACACAGTTGACTTCAAAATATTCTCGTTTATATCTGGTCTGCAACCTTTCTGGTCTTGTCATTATCTTCTGGCTTGCATATTCTATAACATGCCTATAGACTAGAGTCAGAAAATAAGAAACCCCAGAAACAAATATCCGAAGAGCCTAACAACCCCCCTGACCCCAAAGGACAGAGTGCTGAATCTTAGCCTGGATATCCCTGTTTAAACCAAGTGGCCAAAGACCAACATAGGGCACAAAGAAGGGAGGCCGGTTTAGACACAGATTCTGACTCCTCTGGTGACTCTGGAGACCGAACTATGGCTTGCTCCCCTGAGAAGTAAAAGGGCGAAAGTTATAACAGAGGAGGGAGACACCAGGGATGGTGAAGGCACAACCACCTCTTAAGCTTATAGAGAACATGACTACCATACATCTGCGGACCCAGAATAGATACTTAAATGGTCTAAAGAGATACCCGAACCTAAAAGGGGGAGATTGAAAACATGAGAACAACTAGAATGGGTGAGGAGTATTTACAGTTTGCACCTGACAGATGGAGTCCAAATATTGTCAGTATTGATGACCCTTAGCAAAGGAGAAAGATTGAGTAGGAAAGTGTACAAAGGTTTGGGTAAGGACAAACAAAATTTGGACAGGGGCTGGGATGTAATATGGAATTGGTTGTGAGATGTTTGTCCCGCAAAGACAGATTGAATGAAGGTGATGGCATGTACACAAAATAATGAGGATCCACTTGATTATTTCGAAAGGTGGCGTGGTCAGATCACTCTGGATTTGCCATTAGGGAACCCATTGACCTGAATGACAGCAGTGTGAGTCAAATAAAGGCTGCCTTTGTGGTAGGACTGATGCTGGAGCTAGCTAAAATGTTGAAAGTGGCCCATCATGACTGGGAGGATGTTCTAGTGACGGGGGATATCTGGCCAGTCGGTGCCATAGGCTGGTCAGGGACATAGATGCTAAGGTGAACGTAATGCAAGTCACAGGAGGAAAACCAAGTGAGAAATAATTGTCAGAAAGGACCCCTGACAAACGCTACTATTACAGCAAAGAAGGACATAGGGCGAGGACTTGTAGGGCCAAGCGACGAGACCGCCAAGGTGGTCCACAAGGCAACTCTAAACCAGGTTCAAACCCCTATCCAGAACAATTTTTGATAGACAGGATCAAGAACGTGACCACGGAACAACAGAAAGAAATGTTGAATATAACAAAAAACTAGAGAAGCCCGCCCGCTCCCTCACTGCACCCCTGATGGCTCTAGTACAACAATGAGAGGATAGAATTTACATCCTTATGAGGGTGGGCAACAAAGAAATAGACTGTCTTTTGGATACTGGAGCAGAATTAACCTGTTTACCTCTGTTTTACAGAAAATGGCTATCCTTGGATGGGAAAACGCAAACAGCACACAGGGTGGGAAGCGAATGTCTCACTCTTAAAAGAACAAGCCTGGTTCTCATTGAATTGGGCCGGAATGAATGAATGACCTCAGTTTGGGTAGGACTGTTGGCAAAAGCTCTCTTGCCAATGGACATTCTAACCCTGGTAAACTCCTCCTTGCACTTTGAAGATGATAAAGTGAACTGGTCCATAAGGTGAATGAGAAAGGAAGAGTTAAGAGACCACTCAATCTGGTCAAGAGATAAGAACGATTGCGGCTTGCTCCAAATGGAGCCAGCATCATTAACCAGAGTCATCCCTTCATGTACCAAACAATATCCCATCAGCCCTGCCTCAATCACAGGAATCGTGCCCATCATCCGACAATTAGAAGATCAAGATGTGTCGGTAAAAACACACAGATCCTCCAACAGCCCTGTATGGCTGGTGCGCAAACCTGACATGATTTGGTGCTTGACGTCAACTACAGAAAGGTCAACCAATGCATTGATCAGAAAGCTCCTTTGGTTGCAGATCATGCCAATATTCTCAATGCCCTCACGCCAGAACATAAATACTCTTCGATGATAGATATGGCCAACAGATTCTGGTCGGTACCCCTAGCACCTTCAAAGCAACAACAGTACAACTTGACCCGGCTACAACAGGTCTTCCACAGCAGTCCTACTGTATCTAACATGGCCCTGCAAAATCACTTGCCAGAATTACCCCCTGTGCCTTCAACGGTCATTCAACACGTGGATGATATTCTCGTGGCCTCCAATACAGAGGAACAGCGCAAACAGGATCTGTGAATCCTGCTGGACCACTCCCGAGGACATAAAGGCAATTTTAACAATGTTCAAGTGTTGCGAGAAGAGGTTGTGTACCTGGGACAAAAGATTTCAGAGGGAAAAAGAGAACTTACCCAGGACAAAACTGCAGTAATTTGGAAGGCCCAAGAGCCTATTACCACCCGGGAACTCCAATCCGTTCAGGACTGTGTAACTTTAACAGGAATTGGATGGACTCAAACACACAACTAGCACAGCCACTGAACAACATCTTAAAGGGCAAGAGAGCATCAAAAGAGATTCAAAGAGCAATGAGAGGCTTTTAGGAATCTAAAAGAGGTCTTATGCTCGGCACCTGCTTTGGGAATTGCTGACAATGGGAAGTCATTTATGCCTTTTGTAAATGGAAAGGAACAATACATGACAGCCATACTGATGCAAGAACATGGGGATATACAAAGATCTATTGGATACTACGCAGCAAAACTGGATGCAGTAGCCCTGGAATGGGGAAGCTGCTTGAGTGCCATGGAAGCCACATGTCAAGCTGTAATGGCCACTGCAGGTTTGGTCCTTGACCAAAAACATTCAAGTGTCCCCACACAGTACACACCTTACTGTCAATGAATAGAGTATTGCAAGTCATGGCAGCTAGGTGGACACATTGGGCAGCAGTCTTAGAAGCCCCCAATCTCCAAATTGTCTGGGCCAGCCCAGTTAACCCCACAGCAATGCTCCCAGTGTCCCGAGAGCAAGAAGAGAGAGGAGACGGGTATGAAGAACATGACTGTGTGGAAATTTTAAAACAAATAGATGAAGCAGCTCTTGCAGCAGAGGAGCCTCTGCAAGAATCCAGACCTCTTTACAGATGGGTCCTCTTTCATTGAAAATGGGATGAGAAAAGCAGGATGGGCAGCCACTAGTCTACATGAAGTCGTGGCAAAAGGTAGTCCACCTGCCTGAACATCAGCCCAACAGGCCAAGCTGAGTGCTCTATCAGAAGCATGCAAGATAGCAGAGAGACAGATGGCTAATATCTACACAGAATCCCACTGCGCTTTTGGAGTAGCCCATGATTTTGGACAACTATGGCAAAGGAGGGGATCCCTTACAGCTGCAAGTACCCCCATTCAAAATGGCAACAAAGTCCAAAATCTACTTGAAGCCATACAATTAGCCCAAGAAGTCCCCATCCTGAAACGCAAGGCCCATGCCAGAGAAACCAACATAGAAGCCCAAGGAAATGCTCTGGCTGATCACAAGAAGAGCCTCCAATGGAACCCACGTCAATGTGTAAATTAAAGACCTTGACACAAGACCTAAAGGAGATGCAGTGTCAATGCTCCCGAGAGGAAAAATGGACTTGGATTGAGGCAGGAATTAAACTATGCGAAGATGGTATCTGGAGATAAAGAGAAATGGACAAACATATTGCCCCACAGGCATTAATGCCCTTTTTGGCACAACAGATTCACTCATGGAGGCATTTGGCTCTGCAATAAACGATGGCATAATTCCAGAAGAGTTGGTCTGGTCGAGGTCTTAAAAACATGTCCAGGTGGTAACAGACCATTGCATGATCTACCAGAAGAACAACCATCACCGCCATGCCCCAAATGAGACCACCCCCCACCCACTGCAGGACCATTGCAACACCTACAAAACGACTACATGTCCCTCCCACCATGTCAAAGCTATACCGAAGTCCTAGTTATCATTGACAAATTCTCCAGATGGGTGGAAACCTCTTCAACCGGAGAAGCCACAGCCAATCATACAGCTAAAGTTTTGTGTAAGGATTACAGTCCTCGGTGGGGAGTCTCAACCAGCACAGATTCTGACCAAGGGACACACTTCACAGGTGCTGTCTGCCAGGGAGTTTGCAGGTTGTTAAACATTAAATGTGAGCTCCACTGGCCTCATCACCCCCCCAGTCATGAGGGCAAGTGGAACGAACCAACCGTACCTTAAAACAAAGGCTCGCTAAGCACCACCAAGGGGGAGTATCCTGGCCATGAGCCCTGTCAATAGAACCATGCAGCATCCAAGCAACTCCCAATCAAACAATAGGACCAAGCCCTTTTGAAGTCAACACTGGAAGGCCTACATCATTGCCAGGAACAACTAAGTTGCGGAAAGCCTATTGCCACTTAGTGAGTGACATGCTGTTGAAGTATTGTCAAGTCCTAACCAATGTTGTCAGGTCCTCTCCCCGACAGCTTCCCTTTTAATGCATCTGAAATGGCAGAATAGATAATTCGCCTCCTCAAAGGATCTGGTATGATGGCACGGCAGTCACCAGCTCGAACAGGGATGTACTGGGTGCATGTGGCTCACCCCAGACAGTAGTGGGAGTCAGCAGGTCACAACATCTTTGCAGGGTGGTGTCAGCCCAAATGACCACATCTCACAACAACCTCCATTCACGACCGTTGCCAACACCTCTAGAATGGGGAGACCAGGAGGAATCTGTTTATGTAAAACCCAGACAGGAGGGCAGGAGACGGGATACAGCAAGTATTCCCCATATTAGAATGCAACCCAGAGTGTTGACTCCACCCTCCTGACATTCTAACATCTCACCAGCAAAGATGGTATCCCAACATAATAACTAGGTTTACCCCTTAAAATGGCGCTTACTTTGTTTGCGACCGTAAGGCCTATGACAGGTTACCCTCATCATGGACGGGTTCAGGTTACTTGAGTTATGTCGTCCCCTTTGTCCATCACTCATTATCCCTACCTGAGACACTGTCAAAGATTTAAAAGTGCCATTACAGAGATAGAGAGATTCTTTTCCATCTTGATCTCCTAGCACAGAACCACAAAACTGGTGAGGGAATCTATCAACGTGGCAGAAGTCCTAGAACAGGTGGCCAACGATACAGCAGAGGTCTTGGATGAAACATGTGCTGAAATGGTAACCATCCAGAAAACAGCGCTGCAGAATAGATGGCTCTTGATTGGATACTGGCTGAAAAGGGAGTCGCTTGTGCCCTAAAAGGGGCCGAATGCGATACTTACATCCCAGATAACTCCAAGCAATCACCAATTTAGCAGCATATATATGAAAAAAGATGGACAAACTAAAACAACCCCCGTCCTCCACGCTGAAAAGTTGAGCAACATGTTGGTTGTGATCCTTGGGAACCTCCCTGGATGAAGGGAGTTGTGTTATTCAGTGTAGTAATTCTCATTTTGTATTGTTTGTTTTTATTCATCAAATGTGTTGCCAACAAGTGGTTTCTGCCATAGCCATGCAGGTTAGGGTCCTGAAAGCTAAGCATCCTGTGAGGCAATCATTCTTGCATAAAAAAGCCTATCTCATATGTTTAACTATATACTTGTGTGCTTTGTGATTTGCTTAAGGGGGAATCAAAACGGGGATTGTTAGGGCTGCTCATAATTGAGTAGCACAAAATGCCAACGGCTGCCTGTAGCTGAAAACAAAATGGCTGACAACTGTCCATAGCTAATGCAGCAAAACAGGACTGACTAACTATTCAAGGTTGCTAATATGCCTAAGATGGTGATATTAACATTTAACATTTGGCAATAGCAGCTCTGAAGAACATTTAATTCAGCTAACATTGAAGATATAGATAATAACATTTAACAATAGCCACTCTGTAAGCAGCTAATGTATTAGACATTGAACATTTGATCTGTCAAACTATAGATCCAAATTAGTTATAGAAAATCATTAAAGGAAAAGATTTAAACCAGACCACAGATAGTTAACAATTAGTTCAGTGAATGCAGTCCAGAAAGCTCTCTCTCTCTCTCACTTATTTTCTAACTTTCTGCCTATCTCACTTTTTAGCTTTGTTACAGAGAGGAATGAATACAGAGATCAATATTATTTCCTGTAACGAGAATCCTTTAAAAGGTTATCCAATTAATTGATAATTAACATGGTGCGACAGCCACCCAATGGGAAAAGGCTCAATGAGAAAGATAAGAAAGTCTGTGAAAACATCATGACCAGGGTGAACAAGCCTGCCCGTCTCAGTGATTAGCAAGCCGGGAGCCAATTACAGGTGGCCTACTCGGCTCCGTTAACCAATCGTAATCAAAGCGGGGATGGTAGGTGGGGGACTGTGTGTGCACTCTACGTTAAAATGTATTAGTTAAGACATTCTGAAACCAGTGTGCCTTTGTGCCTTTATGCCTTTTTGTTGTATGCTGTAATTGAGCTGCAAATCGCAAATACAGGACATCACAGTCTCTTCCACAACTTGGACTCTCATTGAAAATATGAGATCTAACAGTCCATCATACTAATCATGGAGAAACTGTTGCTGAACAACATCTGAACTAGGAAACCACAAGTGTTAACATGTCACTGAAACTCACTGACATCATAGCAGCAGCAAAACTATTTGAGTTGCTTCCACTTTCTAGGCAGAATTAAGAAATTTCAAAGAGCTGATCAAAAGAACAAACAAAATCACTCACATACTAAAAGATCTTCTCAATACTCAAAACGAGCCCATAAAATGTTCCACAACAAGGAAGCTGACAAGGAAGCAAAATACTGTGAATGCTGGATATCTGAAATAAGAACAGAAAGTGCTGGAGAAACTCAACAGGTCTGGCAGCATCTGTGGAGAGAGAAACAGAGTTAGTGTTTCAAGCCTAAAGGGAATCTACCAAGAGTCTACTCGAGTTAGCGCAACATAAGTGCTGATGGAGAGTCATATCAGGCTCAAAGTATTGGCTCTGTTTCTCTCTCCACAGATTCTGCTGGACCTAATGAGTTACTTAAGCAATTATTGGCTCCATAGTTAAAAAGGAAGCCAATTGTTTGCTTCTGTAGTCATTTATACTGGGTGTGTCTGATTGTTCTTGTTGAAAGAACTTCACAAGTATCTGAGCTGTTTCATTCCGTTCAACGTCCAATCCTAAAGATCATCCACCAATTAATCTCCTTCATTTGTTTGAGCCCCCCCAGTACTTGCTCGCTTTGTTGTTTCAGGATAGAAGTACTCTTTCCATCCCTGTCTCAACATTTCCCTTTCCCTGGTTAGGTGGTTGGGTAATGGAGACATAGGAAATGAAAACTGATTCATATATTGTATGAGGTCCTCCTTAAGGTCATCACAGATGCCAAGCACCATAACCTTCCACGTACAGACGTCCACTCATTCCACCTGACCCACACAAAAATGGTCTGCTATATGGGGGGTCCTGCTTGATACTAGTTCACAGGGGACATTATCATATCCCTTTAGATTTCTGTCCCATATATTCATGAGGACCAAAGGCAACACTTCATCCCGTTTCTGAGGTTGACCCATGAGTTCCTTCCGCAGGCCTGTTTTAATGGTCTTCTTCATGTGCACCATTATTCCTAAAGATAGAGGATTGTGGGACACATGTCATTTACTCTGTATCCCCAGCAACCTGAGGGTGGTTTGCATCACACATCCCATAAAAATCACTTCTCAATTTCTGATTGCACTACATCAGGCAAACCCCTCCTCAAAAACACTTCCTTTACAAGGGTTCTTGCCATTCACTCAGCCATGGCTCACCAAAGGGGTGGAGGGGGGACGGGGTGCTGGTGGTTGCCTTGACTCACTGTGTGAAACTGTCCACAGCACCAGGCAATACTTGTTGCTTTTCTTAGTCGCTGGCAGATGACCAATAAAGTCGATTTGTAGAGATTGCCAAGGACCCTTCTTATTCTCGGGCTCTGGGTCATTCTGTAGATAGACCAAATATTCTTTCCACATATGACCTCATTTCTGACCACCATTCCACCTGCCTAATACATCCCCAGGTTCCCTCACTTCCTGGATGACTAACACCTGGGTGTCCATGGACCAAGTGCATCACACCTTGGCGGTAACTGTCTTCATTTCCCCGAGACAGCAAGAACTGCCGATGCTAGAGCCAGAGATAACACAGTGTGGCGCTGGAGGAGCACAGCAGGCCAGGCAGCATCAGAGGAGCAGGGAAGTTAACGTTTTGGGTCGGGACCCTTATTCAGAAAAGGGGAGGGGGAAGGGAGCTCTGAAATAGAGAGAGAGAGAAGCGCTGGGGCTGCTCCCAATGGGACCTCATTTACATTGGTGAGATCAAGCAGAGACTTGGAGACTGTTTTGTAGAGCATCTGTGCTCCGTACGCGACAAACGACAACACCTACCAGTTGCAAACCATTTTAACTCCCCCTTCCAGTCCCTGGGTGACATGTCCATCCTGGGCCTCCTCCAGTGTCACAATGATACCACCCACAAACTGGAGGAGCAGCACCTCATATTCCACCTTGGGAGCCTACAGCCCAATGGCATAAACATGGGTTTCACCAGTTTTAAAATCTCCCCACTCCCGGCCTCATCCCATGACCAACCCTCCCTCTCATCCCCACCTCCTTGACCTGACACAACCTGTCCATCTTCTCTCCCACCTATCCGCCCCTCCCACCTCACTGGCCAATCCCCACCACGGCCTGCCTGCACTCACCTATCACCATCCCACCTACCTTCCCCAGTCCCACCCCTCCTCTCTCTATTTATTTCTGAGCCCCCTTCCCCCTCCCCATTTCTCAAGAAGGGTCCTTCATTTCCCGGAACTTGTTTCGCTAAGACGTTCTACAAATCACATGGTTTCAATGCCTCCACACATCTCATCTCTCCCCTGAATGGGGAATTATCATACACCCAGGTTCTTCCACCACATCTTCCCAGAGATGGTCATTGGCCAAGCCCACTGTCACACAGTGAGCCAAACGGCTCTGAATGCTCACTGAGTTAGCTCTCCCCATGTTATTCATACACATCTCCATTGAGTCTCTTGGAACACCATACTCAAACTGAAAGGTTTTGATACAGCTCCTTTGCCGAGTCACCTGTGAACTCCTCCAGTCGGTATTGATGTCCACTGGAAAGAGCTGATCACAGTGCTTTTGATGAATGGATCACCAACCAGAGGCTATTGGATATGTTCCCTGCTCCCTGGCCACCATGTATAGACCCAGGGTCTTCCCCATTCATGAAACACAGGGTGAGCATGAGCCCCTGAAACCACGAGCAGAGACAAAGCAGAGGGAGAGGTTCTCTCCTCACTCTAGGAATGGAACTTCCCCATCTGCACTCTGGGTTCAGCTACTGCTCAGCATAGTTCCTCCATCTTTCAGAAGTGAAACCTACCTTCTTTCTTTTCTCCATTTACTGGGGAAGTGTTCCTGGGGACCTTGCCTTTGTGCTTAAATCCCCTTTTTTGCCACAATTGTAGCATTCCCATCTTGCGCTGGGGCGCCAGGTGCCCTTGTGTTCTTTCCCTGTTCCTACCATATCTTGAAAATTGAGCTTTAAACTTCATTTCCCTTAGATTTCTGTTCTGGCTCCAATTTCTCATCCTGTTGTCCCTCTTCAAATCTAAAGATCATTTTGCTCTACACTGCAGCTTCTGCATTATGATTAGTCATTGTGTCAAGTTCCTTGAATGAGGCCTGTATATACGGGAGGGATTGGCCTAACAGAGTCCTCAACCAATGAGCTAACGTGATGTTTGTAAGATCACTTCTGTGTTCAGAAATCTTGGGAATAACCGTCTTAGAAGCTGCCCACAATCGATCCATATATGAGTCAGGAGACTCATGAGGCCTTTGCTGGAGATCATCTAAGGGCTTGGTTGATGTTGCCCAAAGTGCAATCCGTGGCCATCATCACATCTTTGTGAAGTGCAGTATATTCCCCTGTTCCCTGTTTGGATGTAATGGGGAGGGTAGCAAACAGGCTACTGGATAATCACAACCACTTTCTGTTCATCCCCCACTACTCCCCCACATCCAATTATTGAGGGTATGTGTCTGATTCGACTCCTGCAAAAGGCCCATATTACAGGCCATTCCCAAAGCCAAACTTAGGAAGTTTTTCAGCCATTCCCTGTAATTTCTCAAGGGAATGTGGCACTATGTATTTGTGCCGCATCTCCCCACCCTGGCCATTCACACCCAACTTACATCAGCTCTGTATCAGAGGGGCCATCAATATATTGTCACATGTACTCCAGTACAAGAGTACAGTGAAAAGTTTTTACAAAGACTGCCTTCTAAATGGCGCCATCTTAGGTACACATACCTAGGTACACATCTTGGATACAAAAGAGGAATAAAAGGAAAAGTAGTAGCATTACTTACAACATCTAAAAAATAAGTTGGAAATAATGTAGCTATAGTATAGTTAAAGGATTGACATTCCAATCTGGTAAAGAATGTCAAATAGCAGCAACTCAGCACGTGGTCTGACTGACCATGCCAGGCCCCAGCCAACACTTGTCCTGCTCCGCACTGGCACTCAGCTGCACCAATGTAAGTTGTGCTGCTCCAGGACTTGTTCCCCTGGCACTGCACCGGGACTCACTTCCCCTCGTACTGCGCCAAGGCTTATTTCCCTCACACTGCTCAGGGACTGCTTCCCTGCACGCTACTCTGGGACTGCTAGAAGGAGAGAAAAATAAAAAACTGCTAAAAGGAGAGAAAAATAAAAAAAAAGAAAGAAAAAGAACAGGTGGAGTAGAGGAGCTCTGGGTGGAGCATCCTACCCTGCCACCATCTTGCTGGGAGAGTGCAATATACAATGGATATTTACAGGAGTTCTGGGCTGGGCCCTATCCAATCGCCTATCCCATTCCCTGACCATCCTCTTCCTCATCCTCTGACTCAAGAACTCTAATATTATCCTTATCTTCCCCCGACCCCACTACTGCACACATTTTCACTCTTGTTCACCTCAGAAACTTCTGTAAGCTGTTCACTTGGTCCTAACATGACCCAGGATTCTCCTCCTGATACACTCAGTGGGACATTCCTTTTGTCAGGCACTGATAAGCTCCTTTCAGCTGTGTACATTGCTGTTCTGCTTCCTCAGCTCTGTAGCATTGTCTAAATTTCTTTTCTCTGAGTCTGTCACACTGCCGGTGATTGCTGTCACATTGACCTTCAGCAAACTGCAAGCAGTCACATCATTTATCCGTTTCTAACTCATATTTTTCCAATTCCTCTTCTCATTCCCACCTCTCCTCCACAACTTGTTTCAACAATCTCTCCTCTCTGCAGCTGTCTCCCTCCCTTCTAATTTTCATTTCAATTTCTCAACCTCTTGTTGAGAATTCTTTTCTCTGAAATGCCATAAGATGATTAAAGAACCCCGTCATGGCCTCCTGTGCCTTGCGGATTCCAGAACTACACACAATACTCTAGCTGTTTGGACTAGCCAAT